ACTATTCACTTTGCTACATCTCCAACAGCAGAAAGCCAGTTGTGCACCAGTTATGTTCCATATATAATAATTGAATGTTTTATACTGTTAACTGTTATTTTTAAAAAATGGTGGTGAAGTTCTTCAATTCAGCAGAAAAATCTACAGTGGGAGGGCAGTCCTTTTCTTGCTCCTACTGTTAAACAAATAGGAGTCAGGAATCCTTAAAGATCTACTGCAAATCATCCAGAGATCTACTTGCAGAACCAGATCTACGTTCTACCCACTGCCACAATAGCAGGAGGACAGAATAAATGAGATAAAGAATATGAGCTGAGTTCAACTTCACATGGGTTTTGAGTGTGTGCCCTGAGGTACGAAGTTTCCCTGTACCACTGCATGATTTGGAGGGTGCCACAGTCTTTAACTGTGGAAAAACTCAGTGTGCAGGCATCTGAAAGTGCATCCTACACTTCAGTTTATCCCTGTTGAACACCGCATGCTGCTTGTGAATGTGTGGGCTTCCTGCTGAAAGACTAAGAGCAGCCAAACATTAACGGTTCAATCTTACACTTGCCTGTGTATAAAATTCTCTGTGCGTAGGCACCAATGCACATGTGATTGAGGTAACATGCTGTGTCTCTGCTGTATGTATATGATTTTTACAACGTATTTTAAAGTTTTAATCTGTGTAAACTGCCCAGAGAGCTTTAGGTATTGAGCAGTAGAGAAACAAAGGAAAGAGGATGGAGGCTACAAACCAGTACTGTACAGGAGTGATAGTGTTGGAGAGCAACTATAAAGTGCCATGTATATTGATGGATTAATAATAAATAATGATGGTTTAATGTATCCCATTATGCTGTGTAACAGGACTGAGAGCCACTTTCAGCCTGAGGGATAAATTTCACCTCAGGGAAGATTTCAGAGGCTTTCCAGTGAGCAGGCAGGGCCAAAGACAAAATATTCTTAAGGGGGATGGGTCTAAAATGCTATAAATAGCCACATATATCAATTTAAAATTCTTACTGTCAATAACTAAGCTTTAGAAGAGGCTTTTCAACCTTTTCCAATATGGAGAAATATCTGCACAGAAGTCAGGAAACCATCAAGTCACTGGTGTTTGTGGGGGCAGGGGAGAAGACACTGGGCTATGAGAAGGGAGTGTGGCCATCTGGGGAAACCCAAGGGACAGAATGGAGCCCCAGGGAGGTCAGGTCGGAGTTCTATACTCCTGCTGTAGAACAGCTCTTATTTTTCATTAAGAAAGATCCTAGACAGCAGCTTTTGGGGCTCTTCAGCGTTTTTGACAACTTGTGCCTCTAATACCTCTTGGACAGATAAAGACAGTTAAATTTTCAACTAGTTTTGCTTATTTAGAGCAAAACTAACTATGGAGAAATCCTTCCCATCCAACCACCACTGATGCATGACCAGTGTAGCTAGCAATGCTGATAACAGCCCCCAAAGTACAAACACGCCTTTTACTGTTGTTAAACAGACCCGCTATTCACTGCTTAGGTGGTCGGCCTATCCCAACCTTTGACCTTTAAGCACAAGTCCCTTCCATTCAACTCAAACTACTCCTCTCCATGCTTTGGCCCTCCATCACTGACTTGTGCCTCCACGTTGCTATAAATGCACTTGTGTTTCACTGACATCTTTAGAGCAAGCAGTCCAATTCAGACATGGCTGGATGCTAGCAACAATCATCCAGCCGACAAAAAGAACCCAGCTGCGACTACACTCTTGATCATCAAACAAAACATAACCAGGCATGGCTTTAATTAAAGCTTGTTGAGTGAATCACATTATTCACAGCAAACGCAAGAAAAAGGAAATGAAAGGATGAAAAATCTATTAGAGGAAGATTCCAAGCAGAAACAAAAGTGTCCATTTGAGCCTATGGCAGCTTTCACCTCCTGTCTACGAGCAAGACTGACATTTTGCTAGGGAGCCATATCAAATTGTCTTATGCCAGCCTTTGTCAACATGGTACTTGTCTGATGTTTAAGACTCTAACCCCCATCATACCCAAATATGGCCAATAGTCAGGGATGATGGAAGATGGAATACAACACATTTGGACCACATACTATTTGGGAAGGCTGACTGATGCAGCAGAATTGAAGAATTATTCTGCTTCTAGCATACTAATAATAAAGAATAGCAAACAGGTGGTCCCTGGGTTACAGACAAGTTCTGTTTCTGACAACATCCTTAAGTCAAATTTGTATGTAAGTCAGATCACATGGTTAAGCCAAATGCTTGTCTTAATATACAAATATATTTTACCTTTCTTTGCATAGAAAATACTTAAGAAATTTCTATATTCACTAAAACATCTTATTTTATTTATTTATTTATTTAGGAGACTTCTATGCCGCTCCATTCGCTGAAGCCTCGGGGCGGCTCACAACAATAAATAAACTTCAATAGAATAATATAAATTAACAATATAAATTAAGTCGCTCTGGCCAAAGAATAAAATGAATAAGTACTATTAACAATTAAAATGACATTTGAATAAAAAGGTCTTCACCTGGCGCCGAAAAACAAATAATGACGGCGCCAGGCGGACCTCTCTGGGGAGCGTATTCCATAGATTGGGTGCCACTGCAGAGAAGGCCGTCCTCCGGGTACTCACCCTCCTAATTTCCTTCACGGAGGGTTCCTGGAGAAGGGCCTCTCCCACAGATCTCAAGAGGCAGGCGGGCATATATGGACATAAGCGCTCCTTCAGGTAACTTGTATCTTAAGTACAATACAGCATTGCAATAATGACAATAATACAATAATAATAAAATAACTACAGGTACTGAAGAGAGAATCTGTATGTATTGTAGGTATACATTATTGTAAAAAACAAATGGACGAACAGTTCTTACAACAGGTTAGAACATTCTTGAGGCAATGTTTGATGATGATGATGATGATGATGATGATGACGGATGTGGAGCTGTCAGGGCTTGATTGTGGTGTTGGAGAGGGATGGGCGGTTACCAGTGGAGCCACTTTCTTGAAGTAGGATTCAAGGGTTCTTTGTACAGCCATTTTCTTTTTCTCACTATAAATGGCCTTGTAGTAGCTGAAGGCCTATTTACTAGGGCAAATGCTAAAGGAAAATGAAAGGGGAACTACATGTCGTACACATGCCCCGAAACACACTGGCTTGGGTATGCTCAGGTCGACACACAGAAAAAAGCTGTGAACATTGTTCTCTCTAGAAAATTAGGATGCCACCAATGATGCATTGCCAAATGCATTGCACAGTGCTTTAGAGATATATCATGTAGTTCTCTAGAGATTGCCATGACTCTCTCTAGAGGATCTCTGTCTCTAACAAAAAGCTGCGACTATTTCTAGGAAACTATGTGGCCCCCGGTTACATGCAGAAGTCTTGTGTAGTTCCCTGGACACAGTCACGGCTTTTCCTTACAGATATTCATATAGAGTTTATGCCAGCCGGCACACTGGTAAGTAGAGGTTGTTTGTAACCCAGATGTTCATAATCCAGGGACTATCTGTACGGCATGCATTGACCAGCAAATTCTTGAGACAAGGCCTTTAAAAAAATTGTAATGTTCAAAGATCCAAGTTAGCAGGGAAGCTGGTCACTGTTCAGCAGTAAGGGGAATCCAAAGGCCTCCCAAGATGGGTAGGAAGAGGACATGCTTTAAATTTAGGTGTTACCTGCCAAAATTGTTAGCACATCCAAAGGGCTAATTGATAGCTCACAAACTGGTCCCATGCCAAAGGTCCTCCCAACTTTTAACCTAACTACTTTAGACAGGGCTTTTTTTGTCATAGAATGCACCGGAACAGTGTTCCGGCACCTTTTTTTGACGGATTTTTCCAAGGGATTTTTCCAAGTGATTTTGAATCACCCTGTCAGGTGTAGCAGGTTGGTGGCAAAAATCATTAAAATAGCGCATGCAGGCTGCTTGTGTGTCCGCGCTGATTGTGAGGGCGCTGCTCGGGACATCGCATGCTGAGTGCTTACTGCCGCAGCGACCATTAGGTTTGTGTGTGTGTAGAGTGACTGGATACGTGCAAAAGGTACATAAGTTCTTTATTTCAAAAAAAGTTGGTGAATTGAAAATCTTTTTTAGTGTAAAAGTATGACCCCAAGCCGTGAGTTCGGCACCTTTTTTTTTTCTTTTTAACAAAAAAAAGCACTGACTTTAGAACAACTACCCACAATGTCTCTTTCAAGGAGCTATAGGGAATTAACACTTCAATGTCACATAATTCCAGCCCCCACATATTTGTTTTAGGAGTATAATTTGTACCCAGTCCTTCCACCCCCACAAATACATAGTGGAACCACCTTTAGCCTAGAGTACGCAGATACATGGCAGCTGTAATGAAGGAGGATTCATTGATGGCTGTGGCAGAACAAGAATATAAGCAATCACTCCATATCCTTACCTTTACTTTGCATAACAAATTAAAAGGGTCCTGGTATATATTAAGATACACTGCACAAAGACCCAGACATTGCATGTTCCAGAACATCTCTTCATCTACACAGTTAAAAGGCTTCTCCAGTGTGGGTCCTGTGGGCGTATTTTCCATCAACCAACGTTCAAAAAAGGCGTCGAACTGAAATGTTCTTCCAAATGCAAACGGGATCAACCAAGGGCGTGGCCTGCCATACCAAAAACAGGCACTAAGAAATCGGGTCAGCGCCAAGTCCCGGAGCATGGGGCTGCACCCCTACCCAAGGCTACTCTGTATAGACCCGGAAAACAAAACGGGGGGCGGGCATGCACATTCGCACAAGGGCAACGTGCACCAAAGGAGCCTAAGCCAACTGTACACCCTGTACCGCCTAGGAGGTGCACAGGCGCCCCCGGACGCCGCGCATCCGCACCTCGCCCCGCCTGTACCTGCCGCCTCCTTAACATCCGCCACGCCCCCGGGTGACCCAGCTGCCCAATGGGAGACGGCCTTTCGAGAGGGGCGGGTAGAAGAGTTGCGGCGCGGGGCGGGCCCGGGGAGTGTTGGGTATGCGGGCAGCGGTGTTGGCCGCTGGAGCAGTTCGCTGCGCGAGTTGAAGCGGGGAAGGGAAGGAAGGAAGGGAAGGGGAGGGTTCGATGGGCGGAGGGAATGTGGCGGCGATCGCTGCTCGTCGCGTCCGGCGATTCGGCGCCGCCGACCGCGTCCTCGCGCCGGCTGTGAGGCTGTCCGCTCCCCCGCTCTCCTCCTCCTCCTCACTCGCGGGTAAGGATAACTGAATTCAGCTGCGGCGAGTGCGCGCGTGGCGGGGGTGGGGTCTGGGGAGTCAGGTAGCAACCTCTGTCAGCCCCTTCCCTTCCCCCCCCCCGCCCCCGTTTCTCCCCTCGGGGCTCTCGGCTCCCACATGGAACTCTTGCTGAGCGCCGTGAGGTGAACCACGGGGTGGGGACGAAGGCTTGGGGGTCCGTGTGCCCGCCACACACACACACGGACGCCCAGCTCTGGTCGGGTCGGGGCGCGTCGCCTTGTGGCGCCTGGGTGCCCTCTTGACAACTTTTCTCCCCGCCTCTTTTCGCTGTTTCGTGAGGTGGATGTTGCTTTTCCAAGATATACCTCAGCCATACCTCCTCCTCTTACGGCGTCCCTCGGTGTCTTCAGATGTTGGGGAGGGAAGGGGCTCCTGTTCCCCAGTCCTTTTTTCTCCTCCCCCCAAGTTTTTTTTTTTTTTAACATCCCAGCCTGTTTTTTTGCAGTTCGCTTATACTAGTCGTTGAGCTTCCCTCTCCGCCCCCCGCCCTTCCTGTGCGTTTGTAGCCCGTGTGTCTCCTCTCGATTGTGTTTAAATCCTGGGCATGAACAGTAGCGGGAGGAGGAGGACGTGCGATTTGGCAGCTGGCTGCACATGCATGAGCCGCGGAAGGGGCCCTTGACTGCCTGTTGCAGCGTGGAGCGAGGAGGGTGCGGGGAGAGGCAGCGCGCCTTGCTAGGAATGCCAGATATGCCTCTGGAGGGGGCGGGGGCTCTCGGGCATATCTTGCTCAAATTGGGGGGTTTCCCCCTGTCCTCATGCATATGTTTGTCAACAAGGTTCGTACTGGTCCTCACTCATCTTGTCATGTCACTCTGTTAATAGAAGCATCGTTGCTAATTCGATTTTTTAAAACCTTTGTAAGCGTTAGTCTCGATGGCAGAAACTTCAGGTTGTCTTCAAATCTGCTCCGTGTTTTTATCAGAATAACTCAGAACTGGCAGCAAAGCTGCAGTCATTTGGTGGAAAAGGGGTGGCAGGGCGGGGCTGCTCTGTATAGAGTGAAGGCTCAATGCTTTAGAGAATCAGTATAGTGTTAACCAGGTAGTCTATTAGAAATACTTCCCTTATTACATTCGACATATGGTCTAAGTTGTTAAAAGTACATGAGGAGGTGGATGCAAGCTAAAGGAAAGTTATTGGTAAAGCCCTCTATATCTAATATGGCATAATGGCTGCAGTAATGTCCAGGACTGTTTCTGCCACATGCTTTTGGGAAGGAAAGCTGTGTATAAGGTAGACTTTACGTTGAAATGTGCTTGTTTTCTGAAACAAATCTGGATATCTCATAACTGAATAGCTGCCATTTTTAATGTTGTAGGTATGACTGAATTCCAGTTAACAGGCATGAGAGGAAGCATTTCAAATGTTTGAAAATGAATGTGGCTAGAAGTATAACCTATCAAGGCTTGAGGATATAAAGCTACAAGCATTCTTTGTGTTTAGCAAGTTCTGCTTGTCTCACTTGTACTCATTATGTTTAAAAGGAGGAAATAGTTAAGTGGAAGGGTAAGATTGCAGAAGAACTTGGCCAGCTGTGAAAATGCATATGGGAACCAAGGAAGGTTGCACAAAGTTTTTGCATAACACAGTTTGAAGAAAAGTTTACCTGGGATGATCTTCCCATAGGGTTCAGTGAACCAGTTTACATTGTTGAGTTGGGTTGTTTTTATGCTATATGAATGTCTCTCAGTGTGTAGTATTCATGTTGCTTTTAAACAAAGATGACATAGCTGCAAAGGTATTTATTTTAAAATGCTGAGTGCAAGCATTCCATTTTCAGGAACACTCTTGATTTTTGAAGGGGGTCATAGACGTTCAAGTATTAACTGAAAGCATTGAAATCTAGACTTAGATTTAGTTCATATACTTCATCAGATACTTGTACAAACCCCCTGTTCCAAAACATCATCTATGTATGCAAACCAAAATCAGTGATTGCTATTCTGCCAAATCATATTTGCCTTGTTTGTAAAGCTGTGAGAGATGCCCACATTGTGGCAATGACCAAGGTTCTATTTACCTATGGATAACATGATTTGTTTCCTTTTTTATAATATAGATGAGGCCTATATGTCACTTCACTTTTTAAAAATAAAATATACTAGATTTTAGAAGCAAGAATACGATTCATAAAAGAAAATTGGATTGAATTCATTGTGACATAGATACCTACTATTTGAAACCTGTGCAAGCAAAGTTCTTAGTTTCCCTCATCTTTAAGCAGAATTCACAATTTTAAATTATTGCAGTTTCTTCACCAGTTATCATTTTAACAGGTATTTATACAAGTATACCTGCCAAAGCTATTATGTACTTTGCATATTCCATGGAATATGAGCCCAGGCAATGTTCTTTGCACTATGTTTCTCTAGAATATTTAAAATGGAAAAAGTGTGCTTTAAATGTTAACAGTATTAGCCGATGCACAATGTGACTTATTCCAGTATACCTTTAAAATTGTAAAATGAAATAGAAGAAAATTGTTCTATATTTTCAGGGTAACATCCTGGGGAATAGATTTTCAAATATATTTCATGCCGACATTTTGTGAATAGGTGGATTGTCTTAATAGGTGGGAGGCTTTTAATATTAAAGATGCATTTAACATCCTATTTGAATAATGTTTAATGTTCATTTTTATTTGCATTCTCTTTTTAGCTGAATCATTTTTGTGTTTGTTTTTTCTCTCCTCAGGACATTTTTGCTTGGCAGATGGACTCTAAGTAACACTAAATGTTAACTCTGGAAGTTTCATAAGCGCTGCAGTGGCTGGGATGTTGCGACAGAACGGTGGCGGCAACAAGCGTGGTTTAGGATTAACCAAACTGTCTACCTCCAATTTCTTCACCATCTCTAATTCAGGAAACTGGGGGATGGGGCGCAGCACGAAGAGCAGTTCCCTAAGCAGCATTAGCTCCAGCTCTGACTGCTATGACAGCACTGTTGTGGATCCAGAGTACATCATGCAGTTGGTGAACGATGTCAGGAAATTTGCAGATGTTCTGCTTTTCTTGAAAGAAGCCATTCTTTCAGAAGGTGTGTGAGCTGATTCTTGGTAACTCTTCTGGTTTGAAACATACAGTAGCATATGTATTCTGTAAAGTAAGTCAAGATGTATGTAGTAGGAACAGTGTTTTCTTGGGTCTGTTTGTATACAGGAAGTCGTGGTTTTCACTTTGCTAACTTCCTCTATGAAAATTGTGCAAGTTGTTTTTCAGGTTGGCACAGGATATGCTGAATTAAAATTCACAAGGACTTTCTAAATGAGACTAGGGCTTTATTTGAAATGGATTGTCTGAGACTGTATTGCTAGTGTTTTTCAGAAACTGACTTTTGTAGCTCAGTAGTGCTTCATATGAATAGGTTTTTCCTACTGTCACAGTTCTCAGATTAGTGTTAATTGCCTGTACTAGTACAAAAAAAATACTGAGCAAGACTTTTTTGCCACTTAGGGCCAGCAGATGGAAATGTTTGGTTGTTCAGACTCAAAGCCATCCTTTTGCTCCACAGACTTTGTTATTCTCTTAAGGAAAAGTAGCATCATCACTGGATAAGTAGGAGGGAATAGTTTCTCACAGCTGAACTGAATTACATTGGAGTGGTTCAGTACAGTTTAGTCTTATAAGAATGAGCCACAGTGAGCCTTGTGATTGTATACTTGCATTGTAAGTGAGGGGAAAAACACATGTTTTGCATTGACCACAATATGTCAGGTTTGGACAACATGGCAGACTCAGTCTTAACTATGATTATGGTTAGCGGAAGCAAGACAGTATCAAACAGTGGTTTATAAAACTGGCTTATTTCCAGAAATGGTGGTTACGATTAATCATGTTTGGGATTCTGATAACTGTGTCTAATCTAAAATGAAAATAAAAGTGTTGAATCCATTTGCAGCTGTGTTAGAAGGAATGAGGCAGCATGAAAGCCTGAAGCTCACTGCAGCTCATTCTTATAGCACTAACCTGTGGTGTGTAGCATTAATGACTAAACTGGACAATGACAGGGTTTGTATTCTCATTACTTCGAAGGATAGATAAAGCGTTTATCAGTTCTTTCCATTATTTGAATTCTGGTGCAAGCTTGTAATTAGCTTGTTTATATTTGCTTTTGCTTATGTTATGCAGTAGGATCAGTGATTTAGCTGGTCTGATTTCTTTGAGACTAATCTGTGGTAAATGGCTAAAAATCAGTTATAATCCTGTTTGAAATTGAATGAAGCTGCATTCTTTCTTAGAAAAAAATTTGGGAAAAACGTTCATGGAATGTTAAATCAGTTGTCCTAAAACTGGATGCATATCATTGGTCATTGAAGTGCAGTTTTCATATGCAGAGAGAAAATAAATTGCAGTAGATATTACAGTCATATTTTAGACGTTGAGGTATCCAGGTGGGAATACTGTTTGTTGTATATTTTGCAAAGGCATAACTGCATCCTTCAGACAATTCTGGAGCAGTCTGTAATGGAATATAGTTTTTATAACAAAGGTAAATAAGAAACTGGTACTGGTTGACCTGGCATGAATTCCTTTCTAAGAATATTTCCCCTTTTTGTGTTTGTGCAGCAAATGCAAAGCAAGCATTGTACTTTTTAAATCTAATTCCACAGAAAAAAAACCCAATGACTAGATTTGCCAAATGCCCGTTCAGGTTGTTTTAAAGCAGTATTGGTAAATTTTACTAATTTATACCACTGTCAATAAACATAGCTCTATACTGTATATATTAAACTCCTACTTTTTCTCAAAGGGTGATAAAGCATTTGTCTGACAAACTAACAGTGTGATCAAGTGTAGCTGCCTGTAACCCTTCAAAATTGAGTGGTTATGAGCATCCTATTGGGGACCTGAGAGTGGAGGTGAAGGTCAGCTCCAGGCAATAGACTTAGGCAACCTATTTTATCTGTCTACGTATTCGTCCTGGTTGTGAAGAGGAGAGGCTGAGGCATCACCAGGATAACTCCCTTCTTTTAGAGCACTCCCCTTAATACTGGCTTCAGGCTCTTGTAGCTGCAGCTAGTGTGCCTCTTCTGCACAGCGTGTAAAAGCAGAAGGAAGGCATTCTGAAATTGGAGCCCTAGCACCAATTGCAGACACATCTCTTAAGTTCAGAGCTGGGGCTCCAAATTTTTCTAGATTCCATCCAGTAGCTGTAGGACTATACCCTAGGTTAGGCGTGTCTTATTCTAAAATTGAAATTTTGTGTTTATCTTGAACCAGATGTCATAATTTCTCTTTAAAAATCTATAGCTGGCCCATGTAAAACAGTTAACTCTAATATCACCCTATTGGATGAAGAGTAAGATTTATTGAATTGTTTTCTAGCTGTACCTTTTTCCTTTTGGGAGACTTCAGGGTTTATATTCAATACATTTTTAAATCTTGGAGTTATCTGTGCTATGGACAAAAATAGTATTACCAAAATAAATTCTTCATGTTGTATCCTGAGACATCAGTCACACTGACGACCTTCTATTAAAGTGAGGTATATCACTAGAATGTAGGCTATCGGAAGAGATCAGTTTCATCTTTTTAGTAAATATGAATCAAAAATGCATACATCTGTTTCTGCGTTCTATGCTTCTCTACATTTTCTATATGGAGCTTAGTTTATGAGTCTATATCACAATTTCAAGAACTGTATATTCAAAAATAAATTGAATTCCTTGCTTTCTCTAGTCCTGGTATAAGCTCAAATGCATTATTAGAATAAAACATACAGCACCCAAAAGAACTCATTGGCCAGGTTCAGGCACACTGAAAAGGTACTGCAGGAAGCTCAGCATGCATGCTTATTTATTTTGTGTAACTACAGCCAGAAGTTGAAAAACTTTCACTTCTTTTTTGGCTTAATCACAGCTTAGGGTGCCATCTAAACTTGCAAACTGTGGTTAGTGTTAAATATAGTCTTCCTGAAACCACAGTTTCGAGTTGGGTTGTCTCAAACAAATCATACTTAACATTAATTACAGTCCATTGGTCCAGAGGTCATAATCAGCTGCGTAACAACAAAGAAAGGGGTAGAGTATGCAAGCTTGGTCCTATGAAACACTGTGGTTTAGCACAGCCTTCCTCATACTTGGCCCCTCTATAGATGTTTTGGACTACAATCCCTGTCTGTTCTAGCCAGCATTGCCAGTGGCCAGGGAAGATGCCATTATAGTAGGATTGGCTGTTTCCGTTTCGTTGGGGGTTTTTTATGTGTTCAGTCATAAGCAAGGGTAGATCCTTTTGGGGAAATGCCAATGTAAGTGAGCCTATCTTTATTTTTAAAATCTTTGTTATACTGTTGCTCTCTTCCCTTTGTGACAGCTGGCTGCTCATCTTTTCTTAATTTCTGATTCTGCTACCACACTAAGGTTTCCTTTATCAGTCTGGCAGCTTTGTTTTTTAAGCTGCGCATGCACAGAACCTTTCACAACAGGAAAAAGGCTTTCTAAGCCTACTAGGTAACTCCCATTTTTAAACTGAGTGCATGTATATGTACAGAGCCTTTATTCATAGGAGAAGGGCTTTCTGAGTGCATCAACTAGAACACAAACCATTAAATCAGAGTCAAATTAATAATAAGCTCAGCTCAGGGGCTTGACCAGTTAGATTAGGAAGAGGTCTACTGAACAATGGGATGGTCACCCAGGGAGTATTGCTGGCTGACTGATTGATTGAACCAAGTCAGCCAATGAAATACTTTGAGAAATAGAAAAAGAATGCGAGTGTGTGCTTTATGTGCTTGCTTGCTGTTTTTCTATTTTGGGAAGTTAACACAACAAAATCCTAGAATATAAAATTGTTTTAGTGTTGTGTGCAGCTCTTTTGGGAATCTGGAGAAATTAAACTGATTCAGAATGAACGTGTTACTCTGAAGAAATAACATGGCTTACAATTTTATCAGACTGGGAGAGAACATAAACTGGTTTATACATTTTCAGAATTTTATATGTTGTGCTTGATGGATGGGTGGCCAACTTGTATAACTTTAAAAGCTTCTCTGTACAATTTTGACTCCGCCTCCAGTAATTCCTTGGCTACAGCTTTGCTGACGTGTTTTCTGCCCCACCAGTCAGACTGGCCACATGCCGTCATTGTCTTTTCAGCAGTTTTAGGTTGTATGGCATTTTTCTTAAAATATCCATGTTTGTACTCAGTTTCTCCTAAATATGCCTTTTAAATGAGATTTCAAAAGTTAGCTTATGATGTGTTCAAGTTTTATGACTTTTTACAAAACATATTTGATTAGTGTTGTAGGTTAACAATATAGTGAACTAATTTTAGGGTGAGAAAATTTGAACATAGTTTTTCAGTATCCAAGCCCAGTACCCTAGTTAATGCAGAGTTTTTGTGCTGGACATTGTTGAAAAAACTGAGCAAAGAACTGAGCAGTAATGGAAGGACACAGAGTTCTAATGAGTTTAGCTATTAACTTCAATGCTTTGGTGGTTTTTAATTTCAATCTAGAGTAATTAGGTTAAAAGTTGTATGTTCTCAGCTTTTGGTATGAAGTAGGTTAAAAATCATTAAAAAGCAAGTCTAACATTCTTGAATGGTGTATATATTATTCCAATGGATTTATATACTGACCATATTCAGCATATTCAGCTGACCATTCACTATAATAAACTGGTAATGGGAAATCACTGATCACTATGCTTGACTGTGACTTGATGATACAATAAATGAAGAATAAAGAAATACTGCGATTTAGCAAGCTTCTGACATAGTCGTGTTCTGCTCTCCATTGGCTATAGTGATGGAAATACTGATACAATGAAAACAAACCTCATGTTACCAGAGCTCTATAAATTACTGAGGTTGTATAGTACATCCTGACTACATAGTTTATTTTGGTATTTTAATATTAACCATGTCACTCAAATTACAATAAAGCAAGGAAAATGTATCAAAGTATATCTGTTCCCATATCTTCCCATGGTGCTTTTACCAGCCCTTGAAGGGGTATTTCTAGGATGCAGAGTGTGCCCTCCAGAATTCTACTGGTAACATTGTATGAAAGCTTATCTCTGTTCATGTGTATCTTGG